ACAGGAAACTTCAGGGGGATGATGGCCAGCCCTTTCTTCTTCCAGTAATTCTCTGAGTTGAACTTTTCTACGGCCGCTTTCCTCAGGGAGTAGGAAGACTTGGCCATACATTCCTTCCAACACTGGATCAGGTTCTTGGCATTAATCTCCTGTTTGTAGGGTGTTTGGTCAATTTCATTGTACATGTTTATCGTTCGCACCTACAAAAGAAGAGATGGAAAGGTGGGGGGACTCGGCAGACCTAGTCTCTTCCGTCCACGTCCTCCTAGTCAAATTCTGCTCACCCTATTAGGCCCAGACTGAGTGCTATCACTCCTTGTTGAAGCCTTGCCCATGCATAATGGTCTCATCTTCCCCTGCTCGGAGCCTCTATCAAATATGTTAGCACTTACATGCTTTCTGTGCTGCTCTTGTGTAAGTTCAAAGGAAGGAATCCTTTCCTTATATGTCTTATGTAACTCAACCCAGTCCGGCACACTGTACTCTTAATTCTAGTTGTGTTTGTGAATGTCTGTTGGAAGGTCATGCTGAACTTAATCTCCAGGCCACATAAGCTACGGGATTTGGATCATTCAGATGCTGGGGCAAGATAAGACCACTCACTTCCCAAACAGGAAGATAGGAGAGTTCGTTTAAATATAATCGATAACTAGGATGAAGAACAAATTAAAAGATTTTATTGCAGACATCTGAAGCCATGAGTAGAATTCTTCCTGAATTCCCAGAATTGGGGACTTATGGCTCCATCCGAGAATTAAAGGCGCCAAGTGCCTCACATTCTCAGTTGAGAAAACTCTCAGCAGTGTGGCCAGAGACCTCCCAAGCTGACAGGGCCATTACAGACATGTGCTCTCCCCATCCCCCTAAAAAACATTCCCCCATCACTATAAAAGGAAGACTGGAAATTACTGAGCTGTGGCATTGGGGGAGCAGTGTTTTTAAGGGTGCCTATTGTCTCCTCTAACTTCCCCGGGATGAAGGGAGGTCATTACCTGGCTCTCCTCCCTCGTGCTACCAAATGTGACACAACGTCTGACAGAGGCTGTGATGAGATGGCCAGGAAGGGAGGGGCAAGGGCCCCCCACAAGTTCAAGAGACATAAAGAAGATGGCTCCTGCCTATGGACACAGAGTCCAATGTTGGAGAGGGAGAGGGCAGAGGAACTGGGGACTGGGGCTTTCCAAGGATTGCTACAGCAGGGGGCAAAGAGGCGTGGCCATCAGGGAACTCTGCCTGAGGTGCCAGCTGAGGGCCACTGGGAGATTAGCCCGCCCTCACAGGGGGCTGTCGATTGCTGAGAGAGCTGGCAGAGATGGAGCCCCAGACACCTTGCTTGAAAAGTGGCTACAGCGAACCAAGGAGAGGACAGAGAGCTGGCTGGGGAGATGTTGTTTTCTCTGGTCCTTCTCTCCCCCAACCCCAGCACCACAGCAGAGGGAGCAGGGGTGAGACCACACCTGGCGTCTCCCACCCTAACTCCACTCCAGGATTCCGGGTGGAAGAGGCGCAGGGAAGGGAACAGAGCTTGTTAATGAATGAAATTGGGACAGAGACTTAAAGAACAGACAGGAGAAGATTTCAGTAACTGAAATGACTGAAACTTTGTGACAGCTGCCTGAGATGTTAAGGAAGCAGGGAACAAGGGTTCAACAGAACTTGTTGGCAGCAGTTATGCCCCCAACCCGTGGAGACTTCTCACTAAACACGGTAGAATGCAACGCTAACTCCTCGAGATCCTCTGTCTCCAGGATGTTGGGGAAGGAGCCCGAGTAAGACGAGGACCTCTGCACTGTGGAGTCCTGGCTCTGTATTAACTAGTCAGCTGGGTTCCCTCAGCAAATCGTTTCACCCCTCTGGATCTCAAATTCCTTAACTTGCATGACCTCCATGGCCCTCCCACCGCTGGAATTCGAGACCTTTCCTGTGTGAGACTAATTCAGCATTACCTTCTCAGGGGACAACCCACATCTGGCTGCAACTTCCGTGATGCAGGATTCAGTGATCAGCCCCGCCTGGGGAAAGCCAAACCCGCGCAGAGCCGTGTTGGATGGAAGGTTGGTTCTGCACGCCCGGGCCCGGCAGCGTAGGTTGGGAAACTTGTAAGCATTTTCCATTTTCAGAACTCCCATTTCTATCACCTGAGGAAATCCAGAGTCGATGTGATAAGACCCTCATCCTCCCATACCTGTTTACCATCCTGAGACCTCAGACCAAATCCAGGCCAGAAATGACTGACTGACCCTCTCTACATCATATCACACAGGCTAAAACAGACCCACGTCCCCAGTTAAATGAATTTTTGCTATAAAATAATTTTTAAGGGTTTGAATAATTTATCTTTTGAAATCATTATTTTTTATTTTCATATTTTAAGGCTAATACATTTTTTCCAGGTTTCAAACGTTTCCAAAAGCCTTTGAAGCATCCATAGGCCCTAAACACTGGGTCTACAGAACATAATGAATACAATATCCTGGAAAACAGGAAAAAAATGTCTTGGCATTTGGTGTAATGCGTTGGTTAACTAGGGGCAATTTTGCCCCCTCTCTCTCCTAGGACATCTGGCAATGTCTGGAGACATTTTTCGTTGTTAAGACTTGTTGACACAAATAATCTATAAATCAAAATTTGAAGTGAGTTTATTATGAGTCAGGTCTGAGGACTATAGGCTGGGGGTCCTCCTTCCCCAAGGAAGGAAGCACATCAAAGAAGTGGGGTACACAGAGTGGTTATATACCCTCTTGGAACAAGGAGACTACATCACGTATGACAGGAATCTCTCTTTTACTACTGTCATGAGATGCTTAGCTGGCACAGCAAGTCAGTGGTCATAAGGCGAGAACAGCGATTCAGTAATTAATCCTTAGTTTCCAGGAAGAGATGCTTATCCTTAAAGAAATGGCGATATGGAGGGGAAGCTACATCTCTATCTTTAAGGGCATCACTCTTGTCTTTGGGACATGGGAAATGTTTAAAGCAGATGTACAATGCATGCTCAACAGGCCACATCAGACCTTTTTGGAAAAACAAGGTCAGGCAAATTAGTTTTAAACCAAATAGCTTCCTCATATATTCCAGTATATCCAATACTTGTCATTTATTCATCAGACTGGAGGGTAGCTGTGCCACTGTCATCTGCTGGATAGAGGTTAGGATGTTGGTAAACATCCTACAATGCACAGGACAGCCCCCACAACAAAGAATTATCCAGTCCAGAATGTCAATAGCCCCGTGGTTGAGATCTAATGCTTGCATTTGGGAAAAGAGCTCTAAGTATAGGAAACATGGAGATAACACACAGACACAGACTTCACCAATATCTCTGGGCTCACTCTGGAGGCACCAGTAACACACGGCTATCCCTGCAATAAGGGTCTTTATGATTTTATAATTAAATATTATTTAACTATTGAACATTTTATCAGTAAATCATTCTATGTAACACTTTCCAGCATGTGAACTTGTTCCTTAAAAGTCTTACAAATAGTGACTCATCCAGGGTGGCGCCTCCATTGTTGTAATGCTCCACATCCAGGGCCAAGATTCTGCCATTGTTCATGAATCCAGCCTGGGGAAAGAGAACTGACATTAGATACTGGTGCTGGGGACCACGTCTCTCTAACGTTTACTTTGTCACTTGTGAACCCTCCTCATACAAGAAAAAAGCTTCATGACATTGGATTTGGCAATGATTTCTTGGACATGACACCAAAAGCACAGGCAGTGAAACAAAAAAATAAGATAAATTGAACTACATCAAAATGAAAAACTTCCATGTATCAAAGGACACAACCACAGAGTGAAAAGGCAACCTAGAGAATGGGAAAAAATATTTGCAAATCATATATTGGAGAAGGGTTAATATCCAGTGTGTATAAAGAGCTCCTACAACTCAACAACAAAAAAACAAACACCCTGATTAAAAAGTGGACAAAGCATTTGAACAGATATTTCTCCAAAGGAGAGATAAAAATGTGCAACAAGCAGATGAAAAGATGCTCAACATCACTAATCATTAGGGAAACACAAACCCAAACCACAAAATACTACCTCACACCCATTAGCATGGTTACTATAAAAAAAACCAAGCAGTAACAGAAAATAATACGTGTTTGTGAGGATGTGGAGAAGTTGGAAACCTTGTGCACTGTTGGTGGGAAGGAAAACGGTGCAGCTGCTATAGAAAACAATATGGAAGTTCCTCAAAAATTAAAAATAGAACTACAATATGATCCAGTAATCCCGCTTCTGGGTATTTATCCAAAAAGCACTGAAAGAAGGGTCTCGAAGAGATGTTTGCACACATATGTTCATAGCAGCCTCATTCACAATAGTCAAGGGGTAGAAGCAACCCAGTCAGTGTCCATTGACGGATGAATGGATAAACAAAATGTGGAATGTACAAACAATGGAATTTCATTCAGTCTTAAAATTGAAGGAAATTCTGACACATGCTATAACAGGGATGAACTTTCAGGGAGTTATGTTAAGTGAAATAAGCCAGACACAGAAAGACAAATACTGTTTGATTCCATTGATTTGAGGTACTTAGAGCAGTCAAATTCCCAGTGACAGAAAGTAGAATGGTGGTCCCCAGGGGCTGTGGGGAGGAAGGAATGGGGAGTTATTGCTGAATGGGTGCAGAGTTTCAGCTTTACAAGAAGAAAAGAATTCCAGAGATGGAGGGTGGTGATGGTTGCACAACAATGTAAATGTACTAATGCCACCAAACTGTATACTAAGAAATGGTTAAGATAGAAATTTTATGTGTGTATTTTGCTACAACTAAAAATAATAATAAAAAAGGAAAGGTCGAGAAAAATATAAAACCAAAACAAACAAAAACTCCTCCTGTCTATTCATCACTACTCATCTACCAATCCTTTTCTCTCCTCCTAACGCAAACCAACTGCCTATTTCTTGACCTCTCCTTCTCACCACAGGTCCTGGATTCTGGCTCTCATCCTCACATTTCTACCCAAACCTTCTCCCTCAAAGCCACCTAACCCCCTAATCTCTGCATCCAGTGGCCTGCTCCTAGTGATCTCCGCACAGTTTTCTCATAGGGCCAAATCCAACGAAAATTCCCAGCAGCATTTGGTGTTGCTGGAGGTCTTTCAAATAAATATCATCCTTGCTTTTAAGGTGTATCCAATACCCCTGTTTTCTGGCTGCGCTCTGCTTCACTATCTCTGAACTT